TATATATATATATATATTAGTGATAGTACTGATGAAATGATACAAGAGCAATCTAACCAAACTACAGAAACATTATCAACTACTACTAGCATATCGTATCCTAGTATACAGCCAGAACAAAAATCCATTTCATCAAATTCTATTATAAAGCCTAAAGTCCAATCTACACTTAGAGTTATACGACCCCTAGACAAACAAACAGAAGAAAAATATAAAAATGTTATAGCAACATGGGTGTGTATGGATATGCAACCTTATAGGTCTGTTGAGAAGCCAGGTTTTAAACAACTTATGAATACTTTATGTCCAAATTTTAAGATACCAAGTCGGAAGTATTTCTCAGATCATAAAATACCTCAAATGTATGATGAGATAAGGCTTATAATACAAACTAAACTTTCTTCAGGACAATTCATAGCACTTACAATAGACTGCTGGATATCTAACAATGGACATCCTTTTATTGGTTTGACAGCTCATGCAATTTCTAACGAGTGGAAATTAGAAACTTTTTGTTTAGACTGTACTTCATTAGATATTGACCACACAGCTCAGAATCTTCAACGATCTATTAAAGAGATATTATATGAGTGGAAAATAGACAATGAAAAAATTATAGCAATTACAACAGATTGTAGTGCAAATATTTTAAGAGCAGTCAGCTTAATGAATTTTAACCATGTTGCTTGCTTTGGTCATGCGTTAAACACCGGAGTGACTCGTGCATTTAATATTCAACCTGTCAAAATTTGCATTACAAATGCAACAAGAATACGTTCAATTTTCCACTATAGTAATAAAATGAAGAGATCATTGTTAGAAGCACAAAATCAGTTGAATCTTCCCAAATTGGTAGCACCATCATCATCAGAAACTAGATGGTGGAGTGTTATGCCTTGTCTTTATTTTGTCAAGACTCAATATTCAGCTCTCTTACAAATTTTTACTACACCAAAGCATTATAATTTATTACCTACTCGTAATCAAATGAAGCTTATAAACCGTTTGCTAAAAATAATTGAACCATTGAAACTGTTAGGTGAATCAATGGCATCTGAAAAGAACATTACAATTTCAGATTTATGRCCAATATATCAAAAGTTGAATTTAATGTATAAGCCATTTAGTGAAAGAAATGATGTTGATTGTAATAATCTCATTGATAATGAATACTCGGTTCCATTATTTCCAAATAGTGATGAAAATGACTATACAGAAATATTCACACAGTCAAGCAATCAAAATGATTCAGGTGATGAAGATGATGAAGAAGAAACTTCAGAAACAAATTCATTATCTCAAGCTCTTAAACATGTTGAACAATTAGTTGTTTCAGAAGTTTTAGAAACATTGTCTAAAAGATATTCTGGTAACGAACATACCATGCAATTATTACAAAAAGCTTCATTTTTAGATCCTCGACACAGAAACAAATATCTTGGAGATGAAAACCAAATATGTATTATTCATGATGCAATTAAATCAGAAATGGAACAAATGAGCAACTCAGAATTAGTGAATGACCTTTCCTTGAAAAAAATCACCAATTTACAGGTAAAAATTTTTAAAACTGAAAAACATTTATTAAAACATATTATATTTAAATGTTTTGTAAAAACTATGTTATATTATGAAACATTTAAAACATTTAATTATAATTTATCTTCTCTTTATTTAAAAAATATATCAATTCAACATAATAATATGCTAAAACTAAATATTAACAATAATTTTGTATTGTTTTTAATTGTTGTRTTATTATATTTGTTTTTAAGGTATAGCTGCATTTCTAGACAACCCAACTTCTTTATCAATGGAACACGAAGTTTCAACTAAGGAATCTAATGAAGGAAGTATTATCAGAGAAATACAGGGATACTTGCAGATGCCTGTTGTGTGTTTGTCTGCAAATCCAACAGATTGGTGGAGAAAATTTGGTGCAGAATTCTCTAAACTTGAAAAATTGGCARAAAAATATTTATGCATACCTGGAACTAGCGTACCTTGTAAAAGGCTTTTTAGTACTGGTGGTAATATTTGTACAGATAATCGTGCATCGCTCGCTCCAGGTCATGCTGAACAATTGATTTTTCTTTCAAAAAATGCACAGTTTTTTTAACCTTGAAAAAGGTATTATTTTAAATTAAAGGTTAATTGTTAATTTGTTAAATTTTACATAAAAATTTATGTTAAGTAATATGTTGAATGTTCAAGTCATTTTAATAAATAAATATAATTTTTATTTGTATGCCTTGAAATTTAAATCTATAAAAAGTTTTTTAATCTTATAACTTAAGATTTTTAAATTATGCTAATAACATRAACTTACACTATGCCATATCATCATCAATTAATTGTTTGACAGTTAACTAGATCTTATTGTTACTGTCTTACTAACCAAAACTAATCCAACTCAATGAAAAAAGTATAGTAAAACATGTTCAGGTACTATTAA